ACAAAACACCAGAGAAGTGATGTCATGAGAGATGGGACAAAATTAACAGGTTTCTTCTCTCTGTTCTTTCTCTTGCCAGGCCTACTGGAGTTTCATCCCCTACTAAATCACACTTAGATCCTAAAAAACAGCCACAGGAAGGCCTTCTCTCCTTCCAGGGACCTGAAGTATTGCCACGAATGGACATCTTGTGTGTCAGGTTTGTGACAATTTGACAAATTTGAATGACTGCAATACTCTTGTCAACAGCTACCTTAGTCTTTCTCAGAGTTCTAAGAGTATCTGGCAGTAAGAACAAAATGTGGGGAGTTGTGGAGTGTCTAGTACATTCCCCTTGGTACTCGCCTCAACATGTGTAAACATTTCAATATATTTCTCCTTCTATATCCCACTGAAACCCACCACAGAAGATTCTTTCTTCTAGTTTCATTTTTGGATTGTCCTAAGTGACTTGCTATAAAATATGAATACTCTTGGGAGCGGTGTCATTTAAGGCATTGATTAAACTATGAAAATTCATATATTTTAACTGCTTGCCTTTTTCTCTGACTTACCTAAAAGGGCACTGTGGCATAATAACTTGAGTACATTTAACAGTCCCTAACCATACATTTTAAAATGACTAAGATAAAGCCATGTGAAAAAAAATAAATAAATAAAGCCATGTGTAGTGGCCCGTGCCTGTAATCCAAGGTACTTGGGAGGCTGAGACAGGAATATTGTAATTCTAAAATCAGCCTGGGCAACTCAGCAAGACTCTGTCTCAAAATGAAAACATTTAAAAATGGTTGGGGAAAGGCCAAGGATTTAGCTCAGTGGTGTAAGCACCTGCTTGGCAAGCATAAGGTCATGAGATCAATCCTTGGTACCAAAAATAATGTTTGGGGATGTACCTCACTAATCTCTGGAATCCATGCTCAGCACTGAAAATAGAAGACTAAGATGGTATAATTTTAAACAGTATAACTCAGGCATCTTTTATTTTGACTGCGCTCTCTTCAGAAGAAGATTCAAGCCTCCACTTTGACTATGGTTATGACTCTGTCTGCCCTTAAAACACTGTTGATGTAGCTCTGGCAGAGCTATCTGTTTCCTTGCCCTAAGGTTTAGCACAGAAGACAGTGTGCTTTAATCACACTGTATTCTTAGACTGTATTTTAAGTAACAAAAGAGCTAAAAAGTGACTTCCCATTCAACATTCTCACTCAGGTCATTTTGGGTTCATCAAGACTCTCTACTGACCCATATAATACTTGGTCATTCTCAGTCATGCTCCCTTCCTTTCCCTTTCTCCTGCTGTTCTTACAAAATCCACAGAACCTGATTCTTGCCTCCATTCTCTTTTTTCATCCCTTCTTCCAGTCACTGAAGAACTGTGTGTTTAAAATATTCCATACCTATATCTTGAAGATAATATGAAGATAATATGAAAATAATATGCAATGTATTGTTGTTACTCTCATAAGTAGCCTGCATTGAAACTGTTTTATTGACATTTAAAATTTTTCTCTTTCAATTAAAAAAAATTCTGAACTACATTGCCAGTGAAACCCTGTAAATAAAGCACTATTTTAATTTCTTTTGAGCTGGGGGGGTCTCATTATATTGGTCAGACTACTCTAAAACTATTTTAAGTCAAATGGATCTTGTTGCCATAGCCACCCATGTAAGACTGCAAATGTGCATCTCCCATCACCACCTGTGAATGGCTTGTCATAATTTTTTTGAAAAGAGAACCATGGGCCTGAAGAGTAGAGGAATTAAAGCAAGGAATGAGATAGCTCTGTGTGCTTTTTTAGTCAACCAAGATTCTGAGAATGTGGGAGAAAGACTCAGAAATCTGGAAGCTAGTGATTAAGTACAGTAATAGCAATCTTCTTTGGCCAATAAGAGTATACTCTACACAACAGAAAGTTTTCTCTTCCTTTCATTTCACCCGCCCAATTATTCAAGGTAGAAAAATGAAAGTATCACTTAATACCATGCATACCCATAACTGTTATAATTCTCTCAGTACTTTCTCATATGCAATCTCAGTTGATCTTTAAATTCCCACAGCTGTGGAGGGATTTTATTGACATTTAAAATTTTAAATTTTAGGAGGCCAGAGGGATTCAGCAGCTCAGTAGGACAAACAAAGCTCATTCACTGGCAGAGCAAGGGCGGGACACAAGTTCTTCTGCTTCATGGTCCTTTGCTCTTTCCATGGCACCATACTGTATTTGATTTAGTCACTAGGTAAGGCTGTTTGAAATGCAGCCCAAACTTATTCCATTTGTGATACAAATTATGTTTAGACCTTGAGTTTATAAAAGCAATGACAATTTGGAAAAGACATGGTAACTAAAATTAAATGAAAGACTCCATTTGTATCCTAGAAGAGTAAAATTTATAACACAGATATATATCTGTAATGAACAGAAAGCTTCTGTTTATTTTTGTACATGTTGTATGGTGCTTGGGGTTGAACCCAGGCCCTCATTCATTCTAGGCAATTGCTCTATCACCAAGCTACAACCTCAGGTCTACTATTATACTGTTGATGAGCACTTCCAGACACTGGAACTCAAAACATCTCCTAGTCCCTTTTTGTTGAAAGTCTCAAGTTACAAGCAGGGAAACATGGTCTCTCTTCTGCTTCATCATTATTAGAGAGCGAAGGTCTGAATCTGAATGAAAATAGGATCTCATATGCAGAATGTAGAAATAGATTGCTCCATGTAGTGAAAATAGAATTGCTCTAATTTATTAGATAAATGTCATCTTTGAAATCACAATAAGGACAAAGCTAACATTGTCCCTATTTGTACATCAGTGCATGCTACTTGGGAAAACATTAGAAAAACTGGGGGTTGGTCAAGCATATAGTTTTATTTCTTGTTTTTATCTTTTGCTTTCACAATATGATTGCATCAGTGCTCTTGAAGACAGCTAGTATCCAGACTTCTAGGAAGCTTCATTACCTGGGGCACAGTTGTAACCGTGAACATGGTTGAAAAAAGCAATTGATCTGTAAAAAAAATTGTTCTCCTCCAGGCCAGTTCACTTTTCTCATGAGGAACTTTCGTTAGCTACTCTGCTTACAAATTTTTAATGGGTACATTAAGTCATCATAAAAAGGTGTTTTTCTGAAGCAAGAATGTTTTGCCATAGGATTTGTTTCCCACAGACGGGGTATCAATGCTTACATATGATATTGCCCTAATGATTCCTAGTTCCTTTAATTTGTGGTAAAAACACTTTAAATGTCTACAGACAAAATGTTACAATGTTTTAACACCTAAAGAAAGGATTAGGCTTCATTATCAAAATAACTTTGTGTTCACAGTTAAACAAGATAATTGCACAATAGTGTTGTTTTCAGGTATTTCTCCCCTCCCCACCCCCAGCACTGCTGTTTTCCAGGTATTCCTTGCACATCCCCTCAGGCCTCCTGAAGGTGGCTTTCACCACATCTCCTCTCATACTTTCCTTGCTTTGGACAGTTGTGCAATCCCTGGTCTCCTCATTTAACGAGAGGGGGCTAACTTAGAGCTAGAACTTGCTGAGGCAGGAAGGTTGTCAGGAGTTCTAAGGTGGCACCACGTAGGTGCTGGCTCAAGAAACCCAAATTTAAAAATTAGCTTTTATAATAACTAACAACAATGAGCCTAGAAAGGTTTTCGTTTCTTTTCAGTGCATCTTGAAAAACTGAGAAAGGAAAGTGTATAACTTTGTTTTGACTCATATTTGACAGGGTTTCAGAGTTGAGAAAAAAGGAGGAGGAAATAAATGAAGCAGGTATAACTTTGGAAATACTTGAAAGTTAATTCATTTAGCTACATTAACCTTTTCTTTACTATGCTGCCCAGGCTGGTCTTGAGCTCCTGGGCTCAAGTAATCCTCCTGCCTCAGCTCCCAAGTAGCTAGAACTACAGGCACACATCCACTTTAGACCTTTTCTTCACCCACAATTATTCATATCATATTGAACCTGTTCATATAAATATACATATTATAACAACTCAACCCCCAAATCCAAATATCATTTCCACAAACAAAAAAAGATTTTCTCTTTATGTAGAACTAGTTTTCAAGGCTGGGGGATTAGAGAGAAAAGTCATAGGTTATTGTTAAAACTACATTTATTACCCGCTTTTGAAATTCCCCAGGGTTACAGAGCAGGGGACCTCAAACTCTCATATTCCATGGATGGAGATGACACTGTGACAACCATTGAATCCATACAGGGAAAGAACTTTGAAGTTTTGGGGTAATATACTCGTGGTGCTTACCCACAGCAGTTGGTCAAGCTCCAAAAACTCAGTCAAGTTATTGTTGAAATGACAACTGATGGGGCAAGAAACCACACAGTTTGAGGTCATGGATCTTCCCTTTCCATTAAGCTCCCTCCCCCTTCTTTCTCCATTAAGTCTATTCCATCCCCAGACTGGTTTTGGTGCCAAACTAGCTCCTGCTGAAAGACAAAAGGAGAGAAAAGATATCTGAGATCTCTTGGTTTTCACTGTTTCTGTCCCTAAGGCAACAAGAAGCTGGATCTGCTGCAGTAATCTTGACCCGGCAATAATGGGAAGCCCACTGGCTCTGCAGAGTGAGCAGTCCCTGTCACCCCCGCGCCCCAAGCAGCTGCTAGTTAGACAGATGAGAGTTTTGATAGACTTCGTTCTGTTCTTCATTTCAATGCCCAGCGTTGGGTGTGTTGGATGGGGTTCCCAGAGGGCAAGCATGGTGTCAGGAATGTCTGAAGACAAGAGAGCAGAGGCAGTTTAATGCAGTTGGATGTGCAGGTTAGGTGTGGTAGTATGGGAGGAGAGGAGGGAAAAATTGGCCAGGAGTGAGTAAGGAGTTCTCCTTCCAGACAAGGTCTCCTAACCTCATATCACTGTCTGGCCCTCAGGTGAGGTGAACCCTGGAAGGGGAAGAAAGGGCAGGAGTCGCGTCCAGAGATAAGCAAGCTAAGGATGGCATGAGCCAGCAAGCTAAAGAGCTGGGCTGTGGTTCTAGACCCATTCTGTACCCTGGGCTAGGTCAGGTAGCATCTCAGGGCCTAGTCGGCGTCCTTCGGCCAGGAAACCAGCAGCAGTCTCGGTGTCAGAGTCTAGGCTGTCAGAGACCCACTGAGACAGGTCAGTGCAGGATGACTCCTTGGCCTTGAGGAGCTTGCGGGAGAGGGTGTAGGCCAGGACTAGGCCTCCAGTCAGGCAGGCGTAGAAGATCATGATGAACAGGATGTAGAGATAAGGATTGTCGTCCTTGGCAGTGGTCACCTTGCGGCTCCCGAAAGGGTCAGGCACAACCCCCATGCCCATGCTCGGGTTGGAGCCAGCACCCAGGCCGCTGGCATTGCCCTGATGGTGCAGCTCAAGCAGCAGGAGCTTCAATAGGCTTTGCAGCCATAGGCTGTAGCTGCAATTCATGGCTGTGGAAGAGTGACAAGGCTGCTCCAGGACGCTGCTGACCTTCCCCTTGGGTCAGGGGAAGCAAGCTGGGACAAGTGGGCTGCAGACTGCGATAGTGACAGCTGACAGCGGCAAAAACGTCCTCTGGGGTAGGCGGGTAATGGCAGAGGGTTCAGAAGCCAGGCCTCCTTATCCCCTCACCCTCACTCCCCTCACCCTCACTCTCCTCCCTTTTTTCACCACGCCCCCTCAGGCCTGAGGCTGCCTCTTCCCAGCCTTTGGCGGTCTAGCGGCTTGGGGGGAAGGGGACAGCTGGTGGAGGGAGGAGATGGCAACAAGGGGTGGGAGTGAGCCCAGAGAAAAGGTGGAGGAGAAAGCGCGGGGTTCTGAATGTGTGAGGCCCCAGGCAGCGGAGGCTGGCAGGGCAGCTTGCTGGGGCCAAGCCTAAAACCCTGATCTGCAAAAGAGAATTCCTTCCAATTTCTGGCCACCTGCCCTGCAGGCCTGGCTTTGGCCCAGATACAGCAGCTGGCCCCCTAAAGACAGGACCTGTCCTGGGACACTCAAGCAAAACCTCAAATGCCTTCCAGCAGCAGAGACTCATTTGTCCAAATCTTGTCCAAACTACTCGCACAGACAAGGATCTTGGCCTGTCTTTTTTCTAGTGTTCCTGTCCTACTCCCATCCCTGTCTGAGCAAAGCATCCTATTCTAAAGATGCTCAGGGCAAATTCGGTGCCTGAATTGTCAAGTACTTGTTTAAAAACCAATGCAGAGTGGGCCTCCATGAGTTCCAAAATACTTGATGATTATCTGTCAGGCTCCTAGGAAGTATCCCTGTGCTGACACCCTACCACACTTTTTCAGGGAGCCCACACATGAGTGTACTATCTATTATGTGATGCTATTTTCTTTGGGAGTTCCATCTTCCCAGAATTGAAACCAAGTTCTTCCATTAGGATCAACAGGAGCATTACTAAGGATCTGTAACTCTCTAGATGTTTGAGGATCTGAAAAGAACCTATTCTAGAAAATAGGCTTACCTCACTTCCAGTTGGACAGGCTCACAGCTATTTGTTAATAGCTGTGTTAATAGGGTTAGGCGCTGATGGCTTCTGGGACAGTCATTTTTTACCGGCAATACTTTTTATTTTAGAGGAAAACAAGGCACTAAGACAAAGATTAATTATGTTAAAGTACATTTAATTGAAAACAGAACAGGCTTCACAAAGGAAAAAGTTGATGTGTAGATAATAAGGTAGGAAAAAAAATGAAGTAGTGCTGGTAAGGTCTGGTGGTATATAGTTGCCAAATGAGAAAAGGAAAGAAACAAAGTATACGCCCTTATGCACAGTTTGAAAACCAAGCAAGCTGTTCAAGACCTTTCAGCTGGTAACCATTCAAATTGAATGCCATGGATTTTTAAGTTGAAGGTTTCTGATACCTCTGCCTCAGCCAACCTATAGCTTACTATCTTGCTATCAGAGGGCCTGCAGCCTTCTTTGTATTGAAGTAAGATCAGCACCAAACACAGCCTAACTTCACAGCCACTACATTGGCTTTAGAGTCTCCCAGGCGGAACTGACCAATGCTTCAAAGCCCTCAACTCAGAGGGGTTGGGGAAAAATGTTAAAGTGACTTGGCAATACCAAAGACCACAGCAGGAAACTTTTCAAAGCAGTACCAATCTAATGATATGACTGTTGAACTAAAATACTCTTCTTTTCTTTTAGACAACATCGCAGAATACTGAGGGACTTGGGAAGAGAAAGCTTTCTTACTATAATCTGAGGAGTAATCATTTAAATTCATCCTTTTCAAAAACCTTGTAAACTGGTAGCATTATTTTTATTCTCAAATATAAAAACTAGGTTCAGATTAATTAAGTAGCATAACAAGATTAGAATTAAAAAGTCTGTATCCATGAGCCCCTCTATTTCTACTTTTTTCCCTTTTAAATAACAGTGCTTTCTGGCAAAACTCTTCTCTGTATGTGTACCAGTGACCTCCTGGCAAATTCAGGGGTCTCTGACAGTTGCCTCTTTAACCTCATGAATGAATTTGATATCAGCAATCCCTCACTCCTTCGTGTAGCTGTCCTACCATTGGCTTTCATGGCATTGTGTTCTCAAGTTTCTCTTTCTATCTATCTAACATGTAATTCAGTGTCCTTGCTGGCTCCATTTCCTTCCCGCTCCCAATAATTCTTGGAATCCTGAAAGACTCAATCCTCAGCCATTTTGTCTAAAAGTGTCTCCTTACATGGTTTCACCTAGTACTGGGAATATATTTAGTCAAATTTGAATCTCTACCTCTGATTCTTCTTGTTAGCGTCACAGATTCCTGTACTTCTTTATTTCTGGTTTTATTTGCACATGCTTAATCCATGTTTTCATTATTTTGGGTCAATTATGCAGACTGAGAATCTCTTGGCAGATCTCCCCTCCTGCAAGGTAGTCCATCATACTTTGGATAGAATAATTACCTTCCAACACCTCTATCACTTCAGAAACCTAGTTGCTGCTCATTGCTTTTTCAATGGAGCCAAATCTTAAGTCATCACCAATAGACTCTCCTCTTCCAGTTTGGAAAAACGGCATATTCCTGGAGTCACCCTCCAGTACTCTATGCCTTTTGCTGTCCTCTGTTTTTCTCACTTAACCACTGTGAGCTTTCCCCATATCACTCATTATTTTTCTATAACATTATCTCCTTGTCTATACAGCATTCCAAATTGAATCCATCATTTATTTAAATTAGCCTTTATCATAAAGTTTCTGTTATTTACAGAATTTTACCTTAAAAATATTGCTGTAATGAACATACACAAGGCTATTTTTAATTTTACTAAAATAAATTGCCAGAGATAAAGAAAATTACTATTATTATTAATACTTGTACCAGGGATTGAACTCACGACCTAGCATTTGCCCAGCAGGCACTTAAGCTGCTGAGCTAAATCCCTGGCCTGAAAATTATTAATTTATAGAAGACTATCATAGGAAGAGTATATTTGCATAAGGAGGTGATAACAGAAATGGAGAATAGTCATAAAATGTAACTAGGAAACCCCTCAAAAATGAAAAAAACAGGAGTGAGTGGGGATTCTTTTTACACAAGGGGTTTCTGGATATCCGTTTAAGTCTCAGTCTCAGGAGAGCCTTGGATGGCTGAAATGCCAGTCTCTTTCCCTGACACAGTTAAAACTGCCACTCCATCAGACAGGAATTGGTTCTTATTCCTGCTCACCATTCCTTCCTCCTTCCACCCTTGCTCCTTACCTATTGAAAAATCATCTGCTTATTATCTAGGATTCATTTACTTGAATCATAATTGAATGGTAATCAAATGTGGTGACAAAGGGGAAGTAATTCAGAATCGTATAGATTTTCAAGGAGCCTTGGGAAAAGTTCTGATGCCAAGTTTGTTTTGAAAGTACAATTGATAAGCAATGGAGTAGGAAATGCTTTCACCATTCCTTGAGACTGTGAGTGCTTCCTGCCAATATTGCAGTTCCATGGAAGTTGATTGAATTGAACTGTTTACCTACTAACCAAAGAAGGAGTACAAATGGTAAGCACTATTAGAGTCCAGCAGGCTGGCAAAGCCATAGTAGTCTTTGAAGGATGTCAAGAAAGTTTCATAATGAACCAGTTAGAGATTGAGATACATTCATTTATTCTGTTTTTTTAAATTAAAAATGAAAAAATGAAAAAAAAAATGATTCATTCATTCCCTCAACAATTGGCTAAGGAATATTACTTTGTGATAATCCCTGTGCTGGGGCCTAGAGACACATCAGTGAGCAAGTCACTTCAGTGAATGGTTCGTGCCTTTATAACTCACAGCTACCTCTTTGTGAAGTCTCTCTACAAGTAAGAGATTGTCAGGGCCTGGAGCCAGGTAAATAGTGGGCAAGGAAACCAGACAGAAATTTTGATTTGAAAAAAATTATGATCCTATACTAGAGTCCAAAGCTTTGTGTGAAGAAAGGAAGATCCTACATGGTCTGAGCTCAGTCTTTTGCTCTGTTGCAACTTACCCTGCCAGCTCTTACCAGTGCCATCTTCAAGGTGTAGCTTGCCACAAGCCACATCAGGTCCATCCTCAAAGGATATATGAAACTAAATAAAGATTCTAGGTTAAGCTGGATCTTCGCAGTTGTTTCATGGAAATATGCACAATATGGGAAAAGACATGGAGTTTATAAAGATCTGTGGGTGGGAATGGGTCTTAGAGATTTCAAGTACCTGCCCTAGAGACATTTTGGAGATGTTGGTGGCCTGGTGATGAGATTTCCCTGTATCCAGGCTACATGCTGGAGCATTAACTATCATCCCTGATCTTATTTATCAACTGCCCAGCTTGTGCGAGGCATATTACATACATTATATTCAGTAACCAGGAAACAAACCTATAAGGTGGGCAGGGGTGATATTAAAATATTTAACAGGGGCCAGGAACAGAGCCTGCCTGGCAAGTACAAAGTTGTGAGATTGATTCCTGGTACCAAAAATAAATAAAAGAAAATAAAAATATTTAACAGCAGTATATCTTCAGCACTGACCAACCATAATGGACTAATAAACAATCAGAATAGACAAAAATAACCAGTGGGGGCTGGGGATTTAGCTCAGCAGCATAAGTGCCTGCCTTGCAAGCATGTGGATGTGAGTTCGATCCCCGGTACCAGAAAAAAAAAAATAACCAGTGCATCCTTTGAGGAGCACTACATAATGGAGCAGAGAATTAGGAAAGTGGCACAGATTAGTAGCTTACCACTACACAGAAGATCAAACCAAGACATGATATTCAGCTTCAGGGAAACTGGGTCGTTTCCATATGGATGCCTCCTTCTGCTTCCAGTGCTTTCAGGCACATGAAAACTTTGTTGCCTACCAATCTCCATATGGTAACATAGCTGTCATTTTTCCACAGAAAATTCCTAATACTGTCACTATTTGGATCAGCCTATTTATATTTTTGAAGTGGAGTCTTGCTATGTTGAATTTGTGGATT